TTTTTTTTTAATTTTCAAAAATCATGTTTTTTATTATGTTATCATGTTTTTATTGTGATTTGTGTTAGTTAGCTGTATTTTTAGTTATTTTCACTTAATCAAAATAACTGCAGTTTGAGTTTATTGGAATGCACAATGAAAAAACATGATTTTTGTGTCCAAATGAACTTTTCATTTGGAAAACGTAAGAGTATTTCAAAATTAGCCTTCCCTCACTTTACTATAAGGTTTAAAAACAATACATTGGAAATCATAAGTGTCAATTTACTAAAGGAAGACATTTTATGATTGTTATTGAAACATATTACCAAAATGCAACAATTGCTAATCTTCTTTGAAAATCTACCTGTTAGAGCTGTGTTCCACTTAAGACTCACTATGACAGTTTCATATTAAACAATGCAGTCAGAAATGTTTCCATCGTTAAAAAGAATTTACCCACATAGAAATTATTCTACGTTAGAAAAATTAAATAAAATATCGGTTTAAAAATCATGTAAACTCAAATAAGAAACAATGGCTTATGTTTTATTTTACATTGAGCAGTCACAACATGGGTGCTTGCTTGGAGATCCCATAAGCAGCCAATTGCAATGGTATGTTTTGTTGACCTAAAACCTGGATGAGATGGCTTTAAGTAACAAATAACATGTAAACAACCAACCCTAGGGAAAGTAGTACAGAATTTATTGCCATAGAAGCGATGGGCAAAGGGAAAAATTAAAAAGGAGATTTTATTTTGGTTAGCATCAGAAAATTAAATAAAATGCATATTCTTTGAGCTGAGGTATTTTAAATGTTATACACTTCCCGTTTCTCACCGATATAATCACTGAGAATTTGCAGATATGAATTTGATAAAGAAAAGCTTCTTTAAGTGAAATCAATAAAAACATGAAAAAAAATTAAGTAAAAAAAATACAAGATACTTCTGCAGCAACATGCCATCATCAGTGCTGAAAAATAAAGCACACAAATGGACATCATCCGCGAAATTTGAATCTCTAAGCAATGGACAAACAAAGTGTTCCAAAAAGTGGCATACATGAATGAAAACAGACATTCATTCAGTAACCACAGAATGCATCAGATTTTCCAGATGTACAAGTATAGCACGAGAAATAACTGAGAAATGTGATATTTTCAGACTAGCATTTTGCATTTGTAAAAAATACATCTGACATAAATGTACAGTCATGGCCAAAAGTTTTGGCAGTGACATAAATGTAGTGTTTTGCAAAGTCTGCTACTTCAGTATTTGTAGATAATTTTTCCACATATTTCTATGGTATACTGAAAAACAATAATAAGCATATAAGTTTTAAAGGCTTTTATTGGCAAAAAAA